AAGCGTGAACGATACGCCACTTGCCGTTCGGCTTTCGGGCACAAAACGTGGGTGTCGATGGGATGTTTTGCTCTAACGCACCATTCCTGCAACGTGCTTTGCAAGTAAAGGCGTCAATGACACCACACTGCTCCTTGAACGGGGGTCGCTGGCACCTTACGCAGTATTTGATTCCCGAAACCAGGTCGATCTCTTGACGGACACCTCGGTCCGGAGGTAGGGCTGACGGCGGGTCTTTGAAGACGGCGTCTTGAAATTCCTTTACCAAAGGATAATATGGAGGTCCTGCAAGATCGACGACTCACTTCGTGCATTCAGCACCCTCTAGTGTCCTCCAGGACAGCTTTTTCCAGAGCGACGACGAGTCAATCTCCTCGCTCAGTCGTGTAATGACCATTTCGGCTAATTTGCTTGCCTTCAAGGTACCACAAAACCCTTCAGAGGACATCTCGTCCAGCTCAAGAACACCAAATACTGCTGGAATAGCCTCGAGTGTGACATCGCCGGCTTCCTCTCCCGTCAAACCGTTGACAAGGGTGTACAGCTGTGCGCTTTCGTCTACGGTAGACACACCCTGGGTCAGGGTCGAGGCCCTGCGTCTTGCAGATAATGCACGCCGTTTCCTCTCTATCGAGGCTTTGAGTCTCATCAAGACCAGTAAGAACATGCACTCAGCGTCGTTCAGTGTCCCCTCTCCCTGCTCTATCGGAACCTTGATGTCATAAACAACACCGACGAAGCGCTGCAAATTTCCGCAGTCTTCGTCCAGTGGGTAACGTACCACTACACGCGCATCTGAAGGGCCTTGCTCAAGATGCCTCGAATCTCAGCAGGCCATGTCACTCTTCACATACAGCAACTGCTTTGAAATGAGAGCAGTGCTCAGTGGATTACGTGCCACTCCATGCGCATCACTGGGGCCTCGCCCTCGATGGCTCGGACCTCGTCCGACCATGCCACTCTTGGCATGCAGCAATTGCTTCGTAACGCGAGCAGTGCTCAGTGGATCACGTGCCGCTCCACGCGTATCACTGGGGCCTCGCCTTCGACGCCTCGGACCTTGACCGACCATGCCACTCTTGGCATGCAGCAACTGCTTTGATACTTGAGTAGTGCTCAATGGGTTACGTACCAATCCAGTTCAGTGCGCGATTAATGCTGGGACTTTTGTTCGATACACCTTCGGTCTCGGATACTCCGATATCTAGCACATTGACCGTCCGATCTAGCGCCCGCGCCAATAGCGCTTATACTTTTCGCAGAGGTGAATCGTGACTCACCAAAGCTCCACCAGGAGACGTGCGCGTATCGCCCAAGGTCTTTAACCTCCAGTCGATCCATGGCTCATTGTGTTCCAAACATACCATACCCCTACTTTGAATCCAAGTCTATGACTAAGCAGCGTTCCGCACTATCGAAGTCAAGAAACTTGACACCGAGGTCCACGGGGACCCTCGGCATCGTAACACAAGTCCCTGTCGCTAAGCGAACGGAGACGGTGTCCCTCAATTGTGCTTTCAGCGCCTCAGCATACAGCAGACTCCCTTTCATCGTGGAGCATCGAACATAATTACCCGACGCCCCGGAGGCAATAATGATCCTCCATTTTTTCTCAAAGCCCTTCACAGTCGCTTTCACGACCAGCAAGCCCAGCTTGCATACATGTTCCGTGTTCAAGAGCACGGAGATCTTCGGGGCTGGGCCCTACTGCCCTCAACCTCTTTAAAGCTCAACTGACTCTTCTCCCTCCAGTAATTTGCCCCGCGCCTACTAGGAGTTCTCTTTTTTCCGAGACAAACCAGACTGGTGAGAAGCGAGACGCCGATTCGATATAACTTTACGCGCCTTGTTCAGGGGACAGCCAGTCCGGCGGTGACAAACACCGTTGGGTGTTTAAACGCTGCTCGGTAACTTGAAGCTCTACCTCCTCTTTCTCAGCTTGGCTGAGATCCATTGGTTCAGGACCGCTCGACGAGTGAGGGTGTACATTTCAACCAAGTCGTGCGGACTTATAGTTCAATTTGACATTAAATGCCATATTCACCGCTATAAAATAGAGGACGGATGCACACGGAAGATTTTTATTCTGGCCACACCAGTGCAGAGGCCCTCCACAAAGACAGTCACTGTGACCGCCTTGAGGAGAGGATGGCATGGCAATGAGAGTACGCAACCCTTGGGCAAAGTCCACCAGCTCCTTCTTACCCTGTCGTGCGGCCAGGAAACGCAATCGCACGCAGTATGCCTGGTTAGGCGGCGAGAACACTCGTAAGAACTGCATCATCCGCTCCTTCCAGGAGGGGACGCAGCTTCAACCGAAGTACCGCGCGGTCTTGCTCTTTCTCGTGCTCGACCCCCGAGTCGGAGATAGATAGCGTCACGCGCTGTTGCTCGTTTTGAAGCATGACGGATGCAATAGCCATCTTGGTCTCTCCCACCCAGAGCAGGAGATTCTCTCCATTCTTACCCTCGAAAGTCTAAATGCTCACCATGAGAGGCCTGGTTGGGAGGAGTCATTCGTCGTCGACGGTGGCGTCAATGACGTTGTCGGATCCGACATCTTCTTCTCTAGGTGCTCTGGCAGAGCATTTTCATAGCTCAAAAACGCCTCTGAGCGCGCGCTTATACCTTCGGGTCCTTGCGAATCGAGGCTTAGGGCCAAGCTGAGACATCAGCTTATTCAGCCCGTCCTGCATGCCCTGGGGCAAATGACTCAGGCGTAGATTGACTAACAGTACTACCAAGTGCAGCGAAGCTGCCGTAGCTTTGTTCAAAGAAAGCTTACTGAGGTAACCGAGTTTACGCTGTATACTAGAACCAGTACGAGTGTAGCGGATCGCAATCCGCTACCTCCAACTACCCGAAACCTTATCCAAAGGCAAATGTACCTTTTCGTATAAAATTGAACATGTATACATCTGTTTTATTTGCGGCAGAGCCGCCTGCATCTAGATCTCTGGGGTTTTCTGATCTAGTAGAGAAAGCCTAATTGGTATGCATAACTACTGGTAGTCTTCTTGTTACGTTGTAGTCACATCATTGTGTGATTACACCGTCTTGTGTAATCTACACTTTTGTACGGTCAGACCATCCTGTGTGACCCATCCTTTCGTACCAGAGTACGTGTATCTCCGTTACAACTTCGGTGCGCTTGTTTGTCATCCTGGATTCGGACGTTGTTGTAAAAAAGGATGGTCGTGGCCGTCGAGCTGTTATATTGATAATAAAACCCGATGTGAGAAGTTTGTCATGTCCCTATGTCGCTTTTTTTCTCGTACTAAAATGTTATATCTATGTCAAATAAATATGCCGTATTATATACAATCTGGTCAGTAAACCATTCAAGAGTATGAGGGAGCAAACGTACTGACGAAAAACCTCACGGTGAATCTTAAACGACCAACGTGTAATTTGACTTTGGGATTCGATCAATCATGGACGTGGAGCCACCACGCATTAATCTCTGAAATCGTTTTCTGTGAGAACAAAATATTTGACAATGCTTTTATCCTTACACGAAACTACTAATTGCATTGAGATGTATTTGGCGCAATAGGTTTCCAACGGTGGCATGTACACTTATATATCGTGTATTGTTCTGTTGGAGAATTTGCAATCAATTCATATGTAGCACACATAAATATCTGGACCTCAATCTATCAAATCCTTGACGTAGACATGTTACAAAGCAGGAACAGTGATACATTTTTTTTACCGCATGAATGGTGATGTAAAATCTGCCGGTTTCAATGGCAAATTTCTGTTTCTGCTTTGAAACATGTTTACCAAAGATTACGTCAAAATTTATTTATACCGTACTGTAATTTAGCTGTCCGTGCTAGGGTTCATGGTTTATTGCTCCGCCTATGTCCAATCTCAGATGATGGTGTCATCATGATTTTATAAATAAACTGCTCAAAGCTCGCATCTTCTTTCAGAGGTCAATTACTGTTTGCGTAAGCTTATAGAACAATCATGCGCCAAACAATCGAAAAGCAAGGCTGGGATGTACATGTCGTCATATAATCGAAGAAGTGGCGTTACAGGGACGCGATACTGCCCAACTGCATCATCAGCGCCGCACAGAATGAAGATGAATTCACTTCTAAATTGAGAGGTTATGGGGCACGTTGACAGCTAACACGACAACGTGTTAAAAGTATTATATTGGTAAATATCGATTTTCTGCGAAAAAAAGAGCCTGTATCCTTCTTTGAGACCTGTTTGAAATCAGGCTAAGAAGTGGCTGACCTTATTTTTACCACGGGAATTTTTCCATCGATTTGCTAACCTAAGCTGCAATACAAATGACTTTAGAGGTATCACTTCCCTCATCTAAGACGTCAGCGACGATATAAATGGCTAAAGCTTCTAATAGCTATGGCTAACATACTCAATGTTTTTGTGATGTGAATATTTCGTCAATTGTTGTGGTAGATCATGCTTCGAAGTGTTATCTTCATATTATATCAATTCGACTAAATCTACTGAATGAGTCAACAAAACAACGATACAACAAGTGATAAAAAGCTCAAGAAATACAATTTTTTGTTACGACTCAAGTGATTCGGCTCGGATCTAGAAATTTGGTTAGCGCTTTAGGTGGCTGATGTAGCGCAGAGAAATTAATGCTAAGACACGAAAGACGACAATCAGAGCGACGAGGATCATTGCATTCCTCCAGATGTCATCATGCTTCATATCGAAGACATTTTCGACGTAGTCCTTGATAGTCATGTTTCCAATCGTCGGTGGTGCTTCTTGCATTAAATCACAGCCTACTTTGCCATCTGAGCAATCAGCAAAGACCAATGCAACAAGAATAGCAATGCTGTAAGTGGGTGGTGAGATCCAGTGAACCCACATGTACCCTGTCGGAATGCTGTCCGTGGGTGGATTGTAGCCAGCGTAAAGCATAAAAATGGAGCAAAGGAGAGCGCCAATAATGGTTGCGACAGCTACACTTGGCAATGCGTATACCAGCAATTGACCAAGGTAAACGAAAACCAAAGCATTCATTGAAACAACGAGCCAGTAGTAAAAGAACGTAATGAAACCATCAAAGCCAACGCTTGGGTAGAAAATGATTGTGAAGAGCAGAGTGGAGAAAAAAATGTACGGGATCTCCACGAGAGTACCCGCGATAAAGTACCACAGTGCATTGTATGTCTGAGAAGCACGTTCACGGTAGAAAGCGGTGCGTTCATCGGCTGCAACGGGCATGACACTGTTGAAGCTGATAATGCCTAAGAAGGTAGTACTGACGAAAATTAGACCAATACCAGCATTCGCGCCACTGTACGTGTTGTAGTCGGTGCCTTGGTAGATGATAGCAAAGACACAAGCCAGCACAACACTGACCATAAGACGCGTGAGATTGTACGTTGGTGTACGCCAGTACATGCGGAAGAAACGACGGCAGAGTAGATCAAATTGCACATATCCGTTCGACGCACGTTTTGTGTCGAATTTAAGCTCTGGAAGGGAAGGCGATGGAAAGAGTACTCCCTCTTGATTTAGATCCTCCTCCATCATCAATTTCTGGTCGCTAACTGCAAAGCGGTCGGCAAAGTCTGTCGGTTGCGATGGATCCGCAGCAGGGTCGCCCTTACCGCCACCAACGCCAGCGCCAATGCACTCAAGCATCCATGTCGCAGGATTATAGCCAGGTTTGATTGGATTGACGTTTGAAAATGCTTCAAAGTAGTTGATCAAGTTTTTGGAGTCCTCGCCAAGTTGTCCGAAAAAGACCATGCGACCACCACGACGTAAGAGCAAAAGTGAGTCAAAAAGATTGAATACTTCGGTACTTGGCTGATGAATTGTACAGATGATCGTTCGGCCAGAGTCGGCGATCTTACGTACACCATTCATGATAAGTTTAGCTGAGCGGGCGTCCAAACCACTTGTCGGTTCATCCATGAAGATAATACTGGGTTGAGCAGCCAATTCGACACCGATCGTCACGCGCTTCATCTGTTCCGTGGACATACCGCGAATAATTTTATCTGCAATTGGGCCAAGCTCCAATAATTCAATACACTCATTGACGGACTCCATTTTTCGCGCAGTAGGAACACTGGCATCTTGACGCAACATGGCCGAAAATATAAGTGCTTCTCGGACGGTAGCAGAGTCAGAGTGAATATCCATTTGTTCACAGTATCCTGTACAACGACGAATTGCGAGATCGTTTGCTGCGTGTCCATTAAGTAGAATCTTGCCCTTAATCTTACCGCCGGTTTTACGTCCAGCAATGACGTCCATGAGCGTCGTCTTACCTGCACCCGATGAGCCCATAAGAGCTGTCATTGTACCAGGCAAAGCAAAGCCAGAGACTCCTTTAAGCAGGTCAATTTGTTCATCGTTTGTGCCACCGGGTAGTGGGACAGAGTACCAGAGATCATGAAACGCCAGCGTGATGGGCATAGAAATGCCGCGGCCTGTGGGTTGCACTGGGATACTAATAGTAGGGACTCCATCAGCCGACTCATTGACGTGAATTCTGACGGCACTTTCGTTCTCCTTTGGGGTCCTGGGCATCTGATTGTATGTTGTCTGGTCCCGACCATCTTCGTCTGGTGCAACAATCGCGACATTCTCAGGGCCTTCGTAGCGCTTGTATTCAAGGACCAAATAAGCGCAGAGAACAAGTATGATGTATGTTGCGACAAAGAAGGCCCAGCCATACCAGATCCATTCAGAACCTGTCTGCAAGTCAAATACACCAAGACTGTACTCACCAACTGTGAGATTGAATTGAGTACAATAATCGATGCCATTGTATACACAGACATCAAACTTGGAAGCCAAATATTGGTTCACACTTAGCGAGCGGATACACCACGCAAAGGGGTCGAGCCAATAGATCCAAATGAGGTAGTCCGGAAGATCATCCCGAGCAATCAAGAATCCACCAAAGATCATGAAAAAGAGCACGGCAACCATCATCATGGGCTGAGCAATTGTCAAATTCGGTGATGCGGCGGACAAGAAGAAAAAGAAACTCGAAAACCACATTTGACAGAAAAACAGTGTGATGAGGAAGATGAGGAAGCGATCTACTTCGTCCACGTAACCACCAAACCAGTACGTGATAGCTCCAAAGACTACAGTCTCGAGAATACTCATTGGGATCAGTGAAAAGGACGATGCCAGCACATAAGCGCTGGAGCGGAAAAAATTAGCGCCACGTTGCTTATAAAAGATCGATCGTGCTTCCATGTACGTCGCTACTTGAGACGCTTGACTTAACGATAGAAACATTGCTACGGAAAAGAGAAGACCCAGAGTCAATTGACTATTCGAGTCATCCATTTGCCAGAAAGTAGAGCCGTACAGTAACCCCATCAAAAGAACCATAAAGACACGACCCATAACATACGTTGTGTCTCGTGTGATAAGAGTAAATTCACGACGCAAAAGCGTCACCAAATCTTCAGCAAATGTTTGACGGAACGGTGTAAAATCGGCAAAGATTGCGGAGTCTTCCACGGGTACATCCAGACGTTTGAGCGTAGCCTGGTATATGCTGGACTGCTGAAACCGAGAAGCGAATTCGTCCGAGTGAAACGGTACACTTCCTCCTACCACGTAGGCATCCTGTTTATCCGTACCAAGGTCAAGCAAGTAATCGGCCACATCCTTTCGTGGCGGACAATGAAAGCCCATGCTTTCAAAATACGGTACCACGTCCTCAATCTTTCCGTGGAACATAATAGTTCCATCATTCATGAGCAAGACATCGTCAAAGAGCTCAAACACTTCTGGAGATGGTTGTAGTAGTGAAATGACAATTGTAGCATTAAAATTGCGCGCAGCACTCTTCATAGACTTACAGATATCATACGTTGCGGCACTGTCGAGACCTGTGCTAATTTCATCAAGTAATTGGAGACGTTTCAAGCCAAACATCATTTCTCCTGTTGTCACACGCTTCCGCTCGCCACCCGATACTCCGCGAAGCATAGCATTGCCCACTGCAGTGTCTTTGCAATTGTCAAGTCCAAGCTTCTTGATCGTCAATTCCGCAGCAAACTTATGGTGTGCATTTAAAACTTCCAATGCGTGGTCATGTTGCTCCGGTGAGCAATTTTTAAGTGCATCAACACCCCAAGGTTCCATGCCCGCTCCAGCGCAGCAACGGTGTGCAAATTCAAATGTCTCTTTAACTGTCAATCGAGGATAGTGATCGTCAACTTGATTGGCGTAAGCAACGTACCGTGGAAGTTCACGGAGTATAGAATCACGAGCTTTGCCACTGTAATCGATCTCTCCTTTTAGAGTAATGTTTTTGGTCATGTGAAATCGATTGGCCAACACCTTCATCAGCGATGACTTGCCCGATCCGGGCTGCCCCAAGACGAGGGTGAGACGACCTGGACGGAAAACACCGCTTATTCCACGCAAAATCTTCTTTTCAATCGTCATTTTGTTGGAACTGAAGCACATATTACTCAAACCTTGTTGTAGCTCGTTAAAAAGTGTTGGCACCTCAAGACTCCCACCTTTAATCATCGGAACTTCTGCCGACAATTCAAGATCTCGAAAACGGACTTCGAGACCAGGAATCGGCTGACCTAGTGCATTTTCAATGACTGTAGAGAGTGTCGAGTTCATGGTAAAGACACCACCAGCCATTAATGCATCAGCACTTGTGAGGTCATCTTTCGTGAGTTGTTGTGGTTCTGGGAACATACTCTTTGTACGTTGTGGTCGATCAAGGTCCCCCGCATTGCTATTCGAGCTGTGACGACGGGATCCAAAGCGCGGAAGGCGTACTGTGGTCATTGAAGCCTTCATTTCTGGGACGACATCACCAACACTGTTATCACCTGTGTCAGAGAGGGCCTTCCCAGCTTTGTCATCATGACGCCTCTCCATTTAAACGATGATGAAGAGGGAACTAAGCACGTTTATGGCTTGACGAGGAAATCGAAAATGAGAAATACCTGAATTGTGTTCACATGGTTGGATGATGATTACTCGAGCTTACGTAAAGATTGTTCATGTCTACCATGGCATAAACCGCTTGATTGTAATTGCCCTATCTTGCGATTTGAATCTTCAATGGATGAGGGTCATCATTTACCATAGGGAGACCAGTTTACCATTTTTCCAATGTGTATCACGCCTTGTTCTATTACCGCCTTATTTTACAAAGTTACACTTACATCATGAATCCTATGTAGTGAAATTAAATGTGTACTGTAAGATCGAAGTGAGCTATGTTTGCGAAGTGATTATGACAACAGTCCTTCTGTGCTTTGTCGTCTGTTTGTAGGATATTCAATCAAATATTCTACTAGAAAATTTATTACCCGCTTATAAACTGGTTATACGGCTTGTCTGTCACACCACTGGATACAGCAAGTCTGGCGACCGCTTACATTCCTTGAGGCTCAACGTGCAGCTGCTGACGAGACGACTTTTTTGCCAACAATCCCAATCCACTCGACCGCTCTTGCTTTTGAACTCCGAGCTTTACATGAAGAGCGCCAAATTGAGTCGCCGATATTGCTTTCGTCATACTGTCGGTGAGCAAACCCAGAGTGAAGACATACGCAAACACGAATAGACCATCTTCGACCTTTTTCCTAATCGATGTCGTCCGTTTTTTAAATTTCGCGTTCCTGGCTGACGCGATGGCACATTGAATGACGTCAACAATCTTGAACGCTTCTTCTTGAGTCGTCTCGCCAACTTTGCATATAAAAGCTTTTAGTCAAATCGCCTCTTGCGTGGCGACCATGCACTTATTCAGCTTCAGTAGATTATAGATTCGCAGTTCTCTGCTTCTTGCTCGTTTAGCTGACACACCAGCCATTCTGTCACAAAGGCGTTACCGCTTGACGCAATGTCATCTGCCCAGTCGCCATCTGAGTAGCCTTGAACATTTGCCGCGAGTTTTTGTGCCTCATATTTACTACTTTGTCGAACATATGTCTGACACGAACTGACTTAACAGTCCCTGCAGCGGGGCTGCCGTAGCTTTGCACTTTGAGGAAGCGTAAGTTAGGTCACCGACCTCTCCTTCTATACTCAGAACAAGTACGAGTTTAGCAGATCGCAACCTGCTTACCCCAAGAGTAATTATAGTCTTACCCCAAGGCTAATTATGCAGCGGGGCTGCCGTAGCTTTGCGCTTTGGGGAAGT